ATTATTATTATTATTATTATTATTATTATTATTATTATTATTAATATTATTATTTTATTATTTTTTTTATTATTATTATTATTTTTATTTTTATTACTATTTTTATTATTTTTTTTATTATCATCACTCTTTCTGCTTCCTTCTTCCGACTTGCCATGATTTGCACTTGTTTTTTTTTGTTTTCGTTTTTTTGTTCTTTTGTTTTGTAGCCCGTCTCAATGCGCGCATATTACGCATACGCCGCGTTAGCCACCGAATGGATAAAACAACAAAAAATCTGTGCGGCTTCCTTCGATTTGGCAGTGCTGGAGACGCGCACACGCGCCCCGTCTAATTGCCAGCATATAGTTTATATGTGTCTATAAAATTGTGACTGCTTGGCAAACACATTAAAACGTAATCAATTATCAGCGTGAAACCCCTTTTAAGTTGTACGCCTTTATGAACGGCATCGCATTATCAAAACGTCTGTACTAAAATAATTATATGGAATAGTTTTTTGTGTGTTGGCATTTGTTGTTGGCCTTTGTTAATTCTCAAAGTCTATAAACATTGGGCAGACGTCGTCTGACGTCGTCTGACGTCGTCGCGCTGGTGTCAAGGCCAAAGCAGCAAAGAACGTAAATTCTGAATGGGATTGACACTGATTGCGGCCGGGAATGGATTTTGCGTTGCTTGGCATTGTTTTTGGGAATCAGCTCGACTTGCGTGCATATCAATCTGTGCGTAGCCGTTCCTGAAGAGCCGCGCGGATCAGCTGATATAGCAGGCGCTCGGCCTGACAAGCGGACAGCCACTCAAGAGGCAGGGCCAGGGGCAGGGGCAGTGGCAATGGCAATGGCAGTGGAAAGCTTTGTTTAGCTCAAGTAGTCGCATGATTAGATTAAAATGAGAGCACAGCCAGCCGGCAGTCGTCCGTGTCTAGGTCAGCGAATTAATTCGGTTCGTCCCGAGTGTTTGGCACTTACCCTTGGGGCTCGAGGGTATGAAGTCGAGGGTGCGATCCTTGCAGCGCAGATCCTCGCCGGTGCCATCGATCCACACGTAGGTGGCCTGCACAATGTTATCCTCTAGCGGCAGGGCCAGATAACGGTCCAAGATGGTCTTGTTGATGCGCGCATTGGGCGAGTCTTCAAGAATTCTGGCAGACATACTGATGGTGTTAATGTGTGTGTGTGTGCAGGGATACGATAATGTGCGAGAGAGTGCGGAATGTGCGTGAAATGGAATATGAGAAAGCAAAAAAAAAAAAAGAACAACAACAACAACAAAAAGTTAGCCTTGCTACACACGATCTTTCAACAGTCACTGCGCACCTGTTGCTTGTTCTTTAGCTTTTGTTTGTTGGTTTAATTCGTTTTGGATTTTTGTTTTCAATGTGTTTATTGTAATCTTTGGGTTTCTCTCGTTGGGTTTGTCAGGATGTTGGCTCTAGTGAAAATTTGTGTCGCTGCGCGCGTAAACGTTACTGGAACACGACTAAGCTGGAATGCGTTATTCCAACTCAATTTATAACGACAAACTAAATTCCAAACGAGCAGAGCAACGGCATTGTTATTACTGCTACTACTTACAACAAGCTGAGCGGACAACAGCAACAGCAACAGCAACAGCAACGGCAGCAGCAACAGCCACAGCAACAGCAACAACAACAAGAACATTCAATAATAATGAAAACAAAATCCAAAAACAAAAACAAAAACAAAAGCAAGCGCTGTTGATGTCGTCAACGCAGCAGCGACGCGTCGCCCCGACAGAGGTCCCACTGCGCCCACAACCCAACGTCAACGTCAACGTCAACGTCGACGTCGACGCGTCGCTGCCGCTGCCACAGTCGCTGACGGTCAGCGCATACGCCTCTGCTCGTTAGCTCTTCTTCTTTGTGCTGCTGCTGCATGATCGACGCGAGCAACGGCAAAAGTCCCGGTGCCAACTAGAGGTGTGCCCGTGTCATAAACGATACGATACGATGCGATACGATCATTTCACATTTACGATATACTGTACGTATTTTGATTTACGATCAAAACAGTGCAGCGCAGCTCATGTTATTGTTGTTGTTGTTGTGGTTGCTGATAAGCGCTTGATTAATGCGTGTATTACGAATTATTTAGCGCTGAATTTAACACTTGATTAATCTAGCATACATTTTGGCTCAGGCTCAGGCTCTGGCTCTGGCTCTGGCTCGGGCCAAATTCCCAATGATTCACACTGCTTTCCTTTCTGGCAACTAATGATTAATTAAGGTGCTATCGCACGGGATATATCACTTGACATTGCTCTCTATTTACGACACGCGCCCATCTCTAAATCCGATGCTGCCATAGATAATAGCAGAACGTCAAGTTTTTTTTTCCTTTTTTGCGATATGCAACGTCATTGTTATCGGCTGATGTCGGATGTACACACGCACACACACACACACACACACACACACGCACACACACACACACAGCCCCTGGGCACTGATATGCATATTAGTATATCACAGTGAGAGCCTGAGAGGCTCACCCAGGCACGACTAGATAAAAACAATCAACGAGCGCTCTTCCATTTAGTTTTGATTATCTAAATCTGTATGATTATCTTTGGGCTTGATTGGTCTGATTAATCTGTGGATCATATGGTCTCTGCTGATATACATATGTATATGTACAATAATATGTGTATGTATGGTATCTTCAGAGAAGAAGCACAAATTTTCATAGAGACCATTTAAATTGAAATGAATGAAATATATCACGAATATCTATCTACATACAAATGAGCAGAAGAACAAACTCTCAAAATGATCATTAGCAATTAAATGAAAAAAAGACTATGAATGCATACAAACATATATACATATATATTATACAAGCAGAAGAAGAAGAACATTACTCAAAGATCATTTGGAAAAAAAAAGAAAAGAAAAAAAAATCCAGCAAAAACTTGATTCACTTTGCTTGCCAATTTTATTACATTGCTAATGATCTATGATTCAGTCTTCAATAAAAACAAAATAAAATTTAGACCTTACATAAATGATCAATGTCGAACGAAATTGTAATCTAACAAATGTCACATAAATAAAAATCTAATCTATCAATCAGGTCAATAAGTGGAAGAATTTGGGCGAATCTGAACCATCGGAACGATAAAGCATATTATGTATGTATGTATAATCATGATATGTATGTTAGTATGTGTAAATGTAAGTTATGCTTCGTATGTATGTATGTGTGTTGCTATTTATAGGAGTTTTTCCAACTTACGATGAATGCATGTTGCATAAGCCTTTCTGATATTGCTTTCCTTATCTTACGTCGTTGTTAATTGACGAAAATTACGTATTTAAAAGTCGATTTGACTTTGTTTTTGTTTTTTTTTTTTTATTTTTTATTTTTTATTATTATTAACTGTTTCTTTGTTTTTTTTTTTGGCGATAAACTTTAGTCCAGCTGTTAATGATTGCGATCTTGACGATCTCTTGACTTTTGGCCGAAAATCCGTGTCCGTTAAATTGGTTACTTGGGCACTTGAGTTAGTTTTGGGATTTAGGCTATCTATGGAGACCGCTTAGGATTAAGAGACGTTCTGGTCGAACTGCGCACTTCCAGCGGCGATTGATCAGCTTATATACCCGTTTGCTGACCGACTGCGGACGTGGACGTGGGCCAGAACTGATGCGGCGCTGCGATGTTCGGCTCTTTCTTGATTATACTTATGACGTCTTAACAAAAACACACATATGTAGACCTACCATGTGCTAATTACCCATTCAAGATTCTCACACATTCAGTTTGGCGCTGTTTGCTTAATTGTCTGCCTTATGCATATTTATATTTGTACACATTAAACATATACATATACATAGATATAATATAAATATGTATATGTATACACTTTGTATATTGGAGTATGCGATCTGTCTTATCTTCAGAGTTATTGGCCACACTCAATCGTTTGCCAAGGCCAATTATCAAAGGCATACTTTTAACCAAGATTGACTGCGATATGGAATATCTGTAATACAATGAATACATTGAGTATAATTTGAGTATATTTGAAGAGCTATTAGTGCGCGAGTTACGATAACAAAGGTCGCGACGTTTGGTGGGGGAGAGCTGGAGAAGGAGAAACTATGATAAGCTCGAGCTACAAGAGCATAAAGTTGTGTCTCCTTCTTTCTCTCCCTCCCTTTTTCGATATTTTGCTCGCTTTCTCTGCTTTCTTTTCTATCTATTTAATAATCTGATTTTCCCTTAGTCTTTTTGCTCTTATTTTTGTAGAGCCCTTTCATTTCTCCTAAGAAATCTCCTCTCTGTCCTACGCTTTGCCCTTGCTATTTTCTCCTCATCTCTATTTCTCTCTCTATCTCTCTATGTTTTTCTCTCTCCTCTTTTCTAACTTCCTTTAGCTCAAGCTTTCTTCTATCTTCCTTTCGTATTGCTTTTCTCTCTATATTTATTTATAATATATCTTCTCTTTGAGCTCTCTTTTTATCTCATTATCTATTCCTCTCTAGATCGGAATTCTTCTTAACCTCTCTCTATTTATCTCTATATCTCTGTATTTTTCCCTTGCTCTCTTTTTATCACTCTATTTCTCCATGTACTTCGATCTCGAGTATCTAACTGTTTATCTCATTTTTTGTCTTGTTATCTCTCTCTCTCTCTCTCTCTTTCTCTAACTGCCCCTTGATTTATTTCATTCGAGATTTACATCGTTCTACCTGTTTCTACAGCTCTCTCTCTCTCTCTCTCTCTTTCTATCTTTCTCTCACTCCCACGCTCTTCCTCTCTCTTTCTCCCTCTCGCACTCCAAGTGTAGCACGTCATACAGTTCAACAAATGCGTTAAGGTCATAACATAAAGTTTTGTCAGCATTTTACACGCGTCGTTTGCCATACAAATTAATCTGGAAGTCAAGCAGTAAGAACAGCATTTGCCAGGCAATCTAAAAATAAACGCAAATAAAGGCAGCCAGACGACTGGACGATTGTCCGATATAAAAATACTTAATTTTATTTAAACTCTTAATGAACAATTAACATACAAACAATTACACTGCGAGAAAACTGATCGAAAATGATCCAAACTATGCCTAAACCTGTTTGTTTTTTTCTCTCTCAATAAATTAACTCGATGTTCAAGCATATCAAAATGTATAACACAAAAAAAAAATAGAAGCAAGAAAACGCTGGTCGGGATGCCCGACTAGAAGATACCCTGAACGTCGATTGATCGCGAGTTTCTAAAATGACGCAGTTATTAGAGCAGGAAGCAGCGCAAACCTATAAAAAAAATGTACGACTCAGACGAAGTTCACACCTTTATAATCAAATAGCCCATTCAAGTCCATCAAAAAAGAGATAAAAGAAACATCAAACATAGCCGAGTTTCGAGTTTTCTACATGCTAAAAATGCAAACTCATTTACATTTTCAATCTTTTCTTTCCACAGATAACTGAAACGAAACACAAAAATTGCAGACTCTAATACTACGAGAGATAATATTTTAACTGAATTTTGATTTGTGTCTAATCGGGAATGGTTATCAGTTTTTGTGAAACCAGACAATTCAAGTCTCCAGCTCTTACGAGTTCTGAGATCGTTGCGTTCATTCATGCGAGCAGACGGGCGTGAAAAGAGCCCAAGACGGACAAGCTAAATCGAATATACATATATGCAAAGATCTATTTCAACAAAACCTGTACACCTTCATTAAGTGTAGAAGTAAATATATGCATGTATATCATTAACTTTTTGCCTAATATATGGAATATATCTTAAAATTGAAATGAATAATATTTAAATCAATTCGTATATCATATGAAGCCATTCAGATATCAATCAGTTTTGAGTGATTTATGTATAATTAATGTAACATGTGCTAGCTAATTATAGCACACTTTTATTGATTATTTTTTGCAGTGTATAGGCAGATGGAAAGAGACAAGTGCAAATTATATTTCTATTGATCGATTGCCGGCCGCCGCCAGTTGTTGCTCGTTTCCCGTTCCTCGTTCCTCGCTCGTCTCTCGTTACCCGTTCCCCGCTCTCCGCTCGCCGTCCCTCGCCACACCCAGCCCGTCGGCCGTTTCACACTTTCCGCTCCTCGTTTCACGCCCAACATCTCACGTTCCAGTTGATCGTTGAACGGACGGCGAACGCGGTTCACGTGAATCGCGCATGCGTCCATCGGCATTTTTGTCTGGCAATTTTTACGATGCGTTTGACGCGATTCTCTTTTTGGCCTCTCAGCGAGCGATCGGCTGTGTGGGTCGCGGCTTACGGATGGCGGGTGGCGGGTGGCGGGCAGCGGGCAGCGGTTTGCGGGCCATAAACCCGGCCGCAAACTTTGATCTTCGATAGCGTTTGGCACTAGCCCGTTCTTCTGCACAAAAACGGTGCCCGATAACGGGATCGGTTGGCTGGTGGCCAAATGAGATAAGAGTTGCCTGGCTGGTTGGCCGGCTGATAAGGTCGCGCACCAGCACCGGCACCGGCACCGGTGGCAGCGCTCACGAATTGATGTGTTTATGTAGGTGAAGGCAGCTGAGGTAGACGCGATCCCACGCGGCGTATGAGTAATTGGGGGAGGCAATCGGAGGAGCTCTGGGCGCAATGAGTGCCAAATACATGGCGACGGTTCTCGATGGTTTCCTCGCCTCTCTTTCGCTCTTTCTCGCTATCTTCATTTTGTTTTTTGTTGCTGCTGCAAACGCACAGCAATTAAGATCGCAAATAATAATAAAAAAAAAAAAAAAAACGAAGTGTTCTAATTATTAATGCCTGCTTAATTGTTATTCATCAAATGGCAATTTATGGCTGCGGCCAGTCGCATGCGCTCGACGATGATCAGTGAGTGCGTAATTTCCACTAAATTATATAACAGCCACAATTAATACACACATACACACACACGCACACATATATATATATACATATGTACATTCAAAAATTAGACCAATATATGTATGTATATGTATGTATGTGCCTATGTCTTTTGGCACACGAACTCAAGCAGAAACTTTGCCTTCGCTATCAGGCACATAAAAATCGATTCTTTGAACTTGTACTACATATACATACACATATACATATACATGTATGTGTATATGGCCTTATCAAGGCACTCATAGTCGTAACAACGAAATTTGTATTGAAGGACTGCGTGGAACTAAAGCAAGTTAAAAATAATTGCCCTGGTTCTAATGGAAAGATTCGATCGACTTGGAGATATGCTTGAACCGTACAGAACTCGAGTTTGAGTGGGCAACTTATCGAACGATCTCTGTTTGGCATAATTAAATAATCTGCAAATATCATAATTATAATTATACACTGAAAAAACCTGACTTTGATATTATTCGAACAGATTTGGAGTCGCAAATTAGTATTGAGATCGACGCTGCTGATTTATATATACTGCAGATCTATATACATATATCTTGCTCTGTATCTCTCGAAGTCTCTTTTAACTATTTCTGCACAGCTTCGTTTTTTTACTCTCACTACTCGTCTCTCGTTCTCTCGTTCTCTCTCTCTCTCTCTCTCTCTCTCTCTCTCTCTCTCTGCTTAGCTTTCTCTCTCTGTCTTTAGCTACATCTTAATGTATTTATATTCCTCTTTTTCTGTCTCTCTATCTCTCCATATATCTTTTTATCGATCTCTCTCTCAATCTCTGACTCTCTAATTATATCTCTTTCTCTATTTTTCGATCTCTCTATATATGTCAATCTACTTCTACTTCTATTTCTATTTCTATTTCTATTTCTATTTCTATTTCTATTTCTATTTCTATT